AGGGATGTCAGGATGTTAGCTGGACAGTCAGTAATGCTTTAATTAATCATCCTCTATCTGATTGTAGTTAGAAGGAATGTGATTTAACATTTAACCGTCTGGTGATTTTAATTAGAGTGGGTAAGCCTTGCATCATCAGTTCTCACATGAAAGATTTCATCACCAACTGTCAAATTAACCATTTTGCAAGCCACATTACAGAAGATAAATTCCTACATTATGCAAAGTAAGCCTTTTTTCCCTCCACTTGATTATTGATGATGTTGAATTACAAATTCATAACAATCACAAAGAAGAGTATAAACTTTAATCTTTCACCCCGTCTGGAAATGCTGAAGAAAGCTGCATAGAGTTTTATTTAGGGATCTACTCTGTGCTTCTATTTTCTTACACCCAAATAATGTAATGCACCAAGAAAAATACATTTCACCCCATCTAAAACTATATTTACAAGCATTTCAGCAGCTGCAACGAAGGAATGAAAACACGGTGCTTGGCTGGCTTCATCTGAGTTTATTGATTTAATTTTTCTTTATTTAGATGCTGCCCATCTCACCCAAACCCTTTTCTCACTCACCATCTTTTTCTCCAAATTTTGCCCGGCGAGGTGAGGCTGATTATTCCTGCAGCACTGTGGGTCGAAGTCCCACTTGCCTCAGGTTCTCATCCCCCTCCAAGTTGAGGATAATGAAGCCTGTCCTAAAGACGATCCCTGATGCTCCTCCCAAAGCAGAACCTGACAGAAGAATAGAATAGAATGCAGAATAGAGTAGAAGGACAGAGAGAGATAGAATAGAATAGACCAGAGAATAGAGTAAAGAATAGAAGAATAGAGAGAGAATAGATTACACTATAGAGAGAATGGAATTTGAATGGAATGGAATAGAATAATGGAATGAAGAATTAGAATAGAGTAGAGTAGAAGAATAAAGACAGACTATACCAGTGTTTCCCAACCTTGGCAATCTGAAGATGTCCGGACTTCAACTCCCAGAATTCCCCAGCCAGCATTCGCTGGCTGGGGAATTCTGG